CCATTTGTATTTTTAACCCATCTCTCTCTAGTGGTAAAGCCCATATACATTCTATGATAATAAGTTGACCTTATATGTAATAAATAAGAAGTTAATTGTGTGTTAATATCATAATTTTATTATTAATTTATTGCCTTCCCCCTTGTTTAAATTATAAATGGCTAGTTAATGAACTGAAGGCATAAGGTTTTGAGTGTCATTTGCCATAAACTCTTGCAGATATGTGTTATTATTTATGAAATTATTATTATGTATGATGTGGTAGTCTCTCATTTCCTTTGATTTGCTTCTATACCTACTTTATGAATGCAGAGATTTGAACCTACCCATCACTACTGAAATGAAGGATTACAAATTTTTCATATTTCTTCAGGGAAATAATAATCTAGTCGTCTAAAATAATAGCAAAAATGCAATTAAATAATTTTTGCAACCACTCCTCAGGAGGCTATGTTTAAGTTAGACCTACAGAAATTCTCCATTAAACCCTTATGTCATGGCTCACAGCCTAGACGGATTGAACAGTGCCAGAAGTGTATTTTAGAATAGCTAAAAAAACGAATTATATATTGCCAAAAACATTGAATTAAATAATATTTTACTACTATTTTAATCCAACATCTGAAAAACTCTTTAAATTTAAAATGTGAAAATTAAAAAAAAAACTGGTTGACATAATAAAATACAGTTTTTTTTTGAAGGTATGCTTTGTGAAATTGTTCCATGACCTCTTTTAAGACTTAAGAGAGAATTGAGTAAACAGAGGACAGGTTTTAAAATCTCGACTTTCAAAGAAATTGCATTACTAAGGAAGGTTTCAACTGAGTGCAACATAAAACATTACTAAAAACAAAGTACACACACGCACACACATGCACACACATACACACACACACACACTAGAAATAAAATGGACCCAGTCAAAATCTCTTATCTAGTTTCTCAAAGAGATATCTTTAGATTCTTCAAACCTAACTTATCCTTTAATATAAAGACCCTTTCTTACATTGGGCATCAAATAAATTGCCAATATCTTTCCTAGTTTATTCAAAGTGTTGCTGCTAATACTTACTTGATGGTAGGGATTTGGAAAGGGCAGGATATGGGGATTTTTTTGTAAGCCCTGAAGATGCTTTGTAGCCATCTTGTTTAATAAATATTGTATATCACTGTTAATTTTTATTTTGAATGGCTCAAAGTTTCGGTCCCCAGAAGCTATAGACAGCAAATCAGTAATTTTGATGAAATGGGCGGAAGGAAATGAAAGCTTAATAATCTAGACCTTATTCTTCCAGGAGAACATATGGATCTGTATACAGAAATAAAAAGTGGAGATGATGAGTTAAATGCCTGGAGATAATTTTTATTCTCTTTATGACTATGTCCCAGGATCTTTTAAGATTCTAGGAATCATGTGCATCCTGTTAATTACTGATGTTTGATTCTGTCAAAGGAGTATGTATGAATGTTGATGATTTTTATCAAGTTTATTTTATATTGGCAAGTGAATACAATTGACTGAAATCTCACAAACACTTTTACTTAAAAGCAGAGAGTACCACCCCGATTCTTGTCACTGTGTCACCTGAGGCCAGAGTTCCTTTAAGCTTGTTTCTCTGATCTTTGAAGACTGGTTCATTTTTTTTTGAAGGCTCTCATGATCCCTTCCCATGATTGCAATACCTTCCATAGGAGCTCTTCTTACATTCATTCAAAGCTTAATCAGTAACAGGGAAAAAAGTGAGTCATGTTATTATTCAGAAAATTGTTAAAATTAATAGGAAATTTAAAAAGAACACAGATATGCAAAAAAGGTGAAATGAAGTCGACAATACAGTGCACTGATGCATTATTCACTATGGAACAGTAATCATGCAATATATATATTTAAAAAGTCTCCAACGTCAGTAAGTTACTGCAGAAACTTAAATGTTGAGATCGAACCCAAATCTCGTTTATTTGACAAGAATGTGCTTTGTGACTTTAAGGTGTTGTGAAAAACATGTGCTTTTAATGAAAAATAAATCCTGATATGAAATAAGATGTTACTAGAACTGGAGCAAATGAATCGAAAGGATGAATTGTAGACTTAAGAAGGAGATTTAAGAAAAATAGTTTGGAAATAATGTTTCATGAAGTTTTCCTTAGCTTTATGTGTCAATATTATGTGGCTGCTTTACATATCCTTTGTTTTAAATACTCAATACGGGGAATTTAAGCCAAGTATGTAAACACATCTTGTAAAGTAAATTATGTAGGAAAAAAAATCTTGTAAAATAAAGATAAAAAGCTAAGTAACAACCAGCCTAGAACATTAGCGTGAAGTAGATAATTCCATCTGATGACAGCATGTAATTCCATTACAAACTCAGCATTAATTAATACGTGCTTCTTTTAAACCTACCATAACTAAACTAAGCACTGGATTATGTTGAAATAGCTTTGAAGATAAAATCCTGTTCTAACTCTCAAGAATGGACAGAATAAGGGGGAATTTCACAGGAGATTTTAGCACAGTAAAAGTATGATGGGGTGGGAAGAATAAGCATAAGGTTCTTAAGGAGTACACACAATGGTTATTAAAGCTAGTGCTGTGAAAATAAGGATGAAGGTGATTTGGAATTTCATTACAATGTGCTGCCCACAATGCTAGTGCGTATATATATGTGTGTATATATATGAAGAGAGAAAGAGAGAGAGAGAAGAATAGAGAAAAGAACTGACTGTGGGCAGCCATGTTGTGCTACAAACACTGTGGTGATCAAATCCTGGCTAAAGCTGAAAGGAGTGTGTGTGTGTGTGTGTGTGTGTGTGTGTGTGTGTGTGTGTGTGTGTGTGTGTGTGTCTTTGGTGGGGTGATGAGGTGGAAGGGCTAGATATTCCATGGTTAGAGAGGTCAGCACCACGTGGACAAGGAAAAGCAACGATTCACTTGCCTAGAATGCCTGACAAGTACTGCACAACCCAGTGACTTCTTCCCTATATTTATTTTTTATTATTGTTGCGCTTTTGTGATTCACTTATTGCTAGATATATTTATTACTATTTGTCTAAGACATAACTTTTTATACAGGACACCATCCTAATTCCAAAGATTTTCAACTCAGTGGTTAGAGAATATTTTCTTTACAGAATAAACCATCATATAACTTTCATTAGGCCAGGCTCAGTGGCTCAGCCTATGATCCCGCACTTTGGGAGGCCAAGGTGAGTGAATTGCCTGAGCCCGTGGGTTCGATACCCGCCTGGGCAACTTGGCGAGACCTCATCTCTAGAATAAATAAAAGAAAACAGCTGGGCATGGTAGCATGCGCCTATAGTTCCCACTACTTGGAAGCCTGAGGCGGAAGGATTGCGGGAGCCCAAAATGTTGAGGCTGCGGTGGCCCGGAGCGGCCACTGCACTCCAGTCTGGGTGACAGAGTGAGACTCCAACTCAAAAAAAAAAAAACTTTCATTATATGTTAAGCATTCTTCTAAATGCTTCACATATATTAATTAATGTAATGCTCACAACAATCCTATACGATATGCTTGTATACAATGGAAGAAACTGTATTTATAAATGGGGATAATGAGGCTGAAATTGTTAAATAATTTTCAGAACTAGTAACTGGATTGGATTCAAAACTAGATATCCTCGCTCTTTCCTATATTAATATCTATGATAATTTCTTTTCAACTTGAAAAAAAATTTAAACTTACTATTTAAAAGTACAAATAAATAAATTAAACCATTAAGCTCTATTGGAGAATATTTATCTCTTTAACTCTGGGCACTCTTAGCAAATATTAATCATATTTTATTATTTGTTTATTTAAACCAGAAAGCAAAATAAGTTGTACAGGAATCAAGGTCATAAAACTGACACACAGATATGCTGAAACTTCATGAATCATTGTAAGGAATTTACATGCAACAAACTACCATGTTAAACCTCCCAGTTTATATTGTTCTCTTTTTCTCCACTCTATTTTTAACTTCTGAGGTTTCTCACAGCAAGTATTTCTGACTTCCAATGAAGTGGTAGGAGAAGTTGGAGAAGCTGAGTGTTAGGAAAAGTCGATAGGTGCTGCTATTGATAGGTGAAGTCAAATAAAATACAGAGACAAATCTTTAAAATGTTTTATTTGAGGAGCAAGAATTTAAGCTTAGGGCATACACTGACCAGGTGGTCTTCGGTATGTCTGAAGAACAAAGAGAAGATTAGAGGTTTTATAAAAAACATGAATGTTATGTATTGATCTTTGAGAAAGTTCACTGGCATAAGTAGGGTTTGGGGGAACTGGCAAATTATGACTGGTGGGTGAAGGCAACGAGTAAAACTATTCTTAGAGTCACAGGAGGTTATGTCAGCAGCTATTAGATAACACTAGTTGCAGATTACAGAGGGCAATTTCAGCAGCCAGGCTTGCAGAGTTACATTTTTAGAGCAATGTTAAGTGTCCTGTGTTTTCCCCCCCCGGCCCTTAATTTAATATAGAAATATATTATAATAAGTAATATTATTGTTTTACTTGGGCATGACAAGAATGACCCAATGCATATGATCAACTTTTACAATGATTAAGGACAAAACATTCACTTAAAGAAAATATCTTTCCCATTTTGAGAATTATCAATGTAATTAAACTTTAACATAAACAAGAAACTTGAATAGGGATTAACACAAGGACACAAAGTTGGTTCTCATTGGGAAGAAACCTTGTGGACACGTCTCTGAAATGTGATCGATATTATTTGGAGTCGGAAGAGTCTGATTACAAATTCCTTTCCTACCACTTCAAGCTGAGTGATACCAAATTTTGTTTCTAACCTGCTTTAACCAAAGAGTTTTGACCAGTAAAGAGAAGAAATTAAAGGATCGCTATTATCAGGTGGCTACAATTTTCCCTGAAGGTGGAAATGGCATACTATGTAAGCCAGGTTCCAGTTCTATACCTGAATATGTGTTAATCCACAACTTTCAAGTTTGTTTTTTGTGTCTTCTCCTTTAGGTCTGGCTTGCAAAATAATAAAAATAAGAAGCAACTGAAGGATGAGAAACAATACAGAAATAACCGAGTTTATTCTCCTGGGATTGACAGACGACCCAAAGCTTCAGGTTGTGATCTTTGTCTTTCTACTGATCACCTACATGCTCAGCATCACTGGGAACCTGACCATCATCACCCTTACCCTATTGGACTCCCACCTCCAGACTCCCATGTATTTTTTTCTCAGAAATTTCTCCATATTAGAAGTTTCATTCACAACTGTCAGTATACCCAAGTTTCTGGGTACCATTAGTTCAGGACATAAAACCATTTCTTTTAATAATTGCATAGTTCAGTTATTTTTTTTCATTCTCTTGGGTGTCACTGAGTTCTACCTTCTGGCTGCCATGTCCTATGATCGTTACATTGCCATCTGCAAGCCCCTGCGGTATACAACCATCATGAATAGAAGAGTCTGTTCGCTGCTTGTCTTTGCATCTTGGCTGGTTTCATTCTTAATCATATTCCCAGCACTCATGTTGCTCTTAAAGCTTGATTACTGTAGGTCTAATGTTATTGACCATTTTACCTGTGATTATTTTCCCCTGCTGCAACTTTCCTGTTCAGACACAAAATTCTTAGAGGTCATGGGGTTTTCCTGTGCTGTGTTTACTCTAATGTTCACCTTGGCATTGATATTTCTGTCTTACATATACATCATCAGAACAATTTTGAGAATTCCTTCTACTAGTCAGAGGACAAAGGCCTTTTCTACGTGTTCTTCCCACATGATTGTCATCTCTCTCTCTTATGGAAGCTGCATTTTTATGTATGTTAAACCCTCGGCAAAAGATAGAATGTCTTTGAGCAAGGGAGTTGCTGTGCTGAACACCTCGGTAGCCCCCATGCTGAACCCTTTTATTTACAGCCTGAGGAATCAGCAAGTCAAGCAAGCCTTCATGAACATAGCAAGGAAAACAGTACTTTTCTCGAGTACATGAAGTGATGTGGCATGATTAATTATAGGCACAGAGAAGGACAATTTAAAACATGAATGTAAATTTTTAGTGGCTTCTCCTAATCAAAATGGCCTCTCTGCTACCTTTGTTCATTGTTTTCTTTTTTCTAACAGTTTGCAAGCAAATTTGTTTAATATATTTCTCATACTATTTAAAGTAATTTTTTTGCGTCTTTCTACTTTGCACAATTTTTAAAATCACAGACTCTTCAATAATAATGTGAAAACTAAAATTATGTTTGAGTTTTATTCTGGAAAAAAGCTTCAAACATTGTGGAACATCTTTATAAATATTTATATGATATTTTGCTTGCTATACACAGAAAATATAGTTTTATAATTTTTTGGGGAAATTTTCTTCTCTATGCTACAGAGGTTCCAGGAAATTATGTGAAAGGTGTAATATAATTTAAAGAAAAATGTAAGTGCATTCCTTTAAAAAGCAAAAAATATTTTTCATTACTCATTTTAATTGGATATGTTCATGAAATCATTCTATTAGTAAAGAAACCTATACCGTTATTAGTATACACTTTTAGATATAAATGCTAAGTAGTTCTCCAAATTTATAAGTCCCACAATGTTTTCTCTATGGAGTGCTAGATAATAGATAAATATGTACATATATGTGTATATATATATGTTGTCAAACATAGAAAATATATATTAGGTATCTATGATAAGTATTTTTCTGTAAATGAGTAGAAAAGCTTCTCTCTGTCAATACATAGATCTCCTATCCAAATTTTTGACTAGTTTAAAACAGGGTATGTAAGTAAATTATTATATATCTTAAAATTATTTAATGTTAAGTTTTATAGCAAATAAAAGCTTCAAAATAAAATAAACATTTCTTTAGGATATATAAAATTACGATTTTATCTATTAAAATTTTGCTTAATTCTACTTAACATATTAGTAAATGTCTAAAGTTGTAGTCAAGATGTGTGTGTTCCCATAACTTCAAAAGTTTAAATAAGAATAATTACACTAAAAGGTATTCTATATTCTATTGACTGTGCTTTTAAGTAATCAGTGATACAAAATTCTTGAGATCCTCATGCAATATATTTAATTGGCAAACTTACAAGAAAGTTTGCTGAAAGAAAAAAAGATGAAAAAAAACCCACCTAAATGAATTCAGAATGCTAAATGGAAGATAGGAATGGCTTCCTAATTTTATTCCTTCTTATCAGAATTAACATTTCAATGTTAAAGAAGAAATTGGAAGTCTGCAGTTTTTATACCGTCTGAACATATGTTTGCTTACCTGTGTGCCAGACATAATATCTTAAATAAGTTACTAAGAATAATAAATGTAAGAATGGAAATAAATCTATAAAGCATCTAATATAATGAGCTATCAATAAATAGTAACAATTATTATTTTTATTGTTATTTATATGTACCTGTATATTTGTGAATATGTCCAGATTTAAAATAAAAAAATTTTCTTAATTGCACTGTTAAATTGTTATTGTTATAAACTTTACTTGTGTATAATAGAGTATTAGCCTTTATTTGTCAGATACTTCTTGAGGAGAAATAGCAGTAATGAAAATATAAACCATGCGACTAGAGTTCATTCATTATACAAGAGATTGGAAGGATAACTATCATAGAAGCCTTGAATGATCATGTAGCCAGACTTATATCAGAGACAAAATTGACATATTTATGACAAGGAGTCTTTTCAAACTATACACAATCTTTTATTCATCCTCGGTTAACAGTTCAAACCAATTCAAATACATTTTTTTCTTAGAAATATGTATGAGTTACATCATTATAACCAATGATATAATTCTACTAGTGTCTTCCAAATAAGCTTTCTCTAGAAGTGCTTGTAATCACTCCACATTTAATTTATTTTTCCAGGTTTGTAACTAGCATATATCTATTGATATAGAACTTTTACAATGAAGTGTTGAATGGATAACTCTATTCTTTTTAGAAAATAGAGTTATCCATTCAAAAACATGAAACCAACCAGGCAGCTAGGTTTGGGTCATTCCTCAGGCTAAAGTTCTATACTCATTTACTTTAAAAACAAGCTCTATTTAAAGAAAGTTCATAATAGGAAATTGGACAGAATCCACACATACGGCGATTTTTCATTTAACCAGAAACTATTAGAGCAGTTTAGAAAGAATATAATTGTGAGAAGTGGACTGCATTACTGATGAAGACCTTAGCCTGTATCCAGGAAATGTTTTCTCTGCATATTTGAGACCTAAGATCTTTGAAATATGTCTCTCTTACCAACCAAGGAGTCAGCAACAAAAAGGCTGCATTTTTATTGTCAGTATATTTAAGGATTTTGAAAGTAGCTTTATAGCCCCAAGAAAAATCATACCTTAATCTACTACTTTTCATAATGGTTTGATCATTAAATAGTTATTGTGTGTAGACACTATACTTACCAAAAACTGTATGATCAAAAGAGTTAACACATAAAACTTTGAAAAATTTTTGCGTAATTAGTGGCAGTTATAGAACAAATCAGGAGTAATTAAAAGCAGAATCCCTGAGTATTAATTGTTTTCTCTGTTAACTGTTAGTTTTGTGCAGTAGGAGAGGAATTCCAAGCACAGAACTTCCAGAACCTCCAACAACATCTTAAAAAATCAGCAATTAAGAGGGCAAGAGAGGGGTACTATGTGCTGTAAATCATTTCCAGAGTAAAAATAAAGAAAATGACTTCCTAGGACAACAATGCAGAATTAAAAATTCACCAAAGAAAATATTGCTGAAAATTGGTCAGATGAGGTGGCCTGTAATTCCAGCACTTTGGGATGCCAAGGCGAGAGGAATTCTTTGACCCAGGAGTTCAAGGTCAACCTAGGCAACATAGTGAGACTTCGTCTTCACAAAAAATTAAAAAGTTGGCCTGGCGTGGTGGCATGTGCCTGTAGTCTTAGTTACTTGGGAGGCTGAAGCCGATGGATCACCTGAGCCCAAGAGGTGGAGGTTATGGTGAGCTGTGATTGTGCCACTGCACTCCAGCCTGGTTGACAGTGTGAGACTTCAACTTCAAAACAAAAAAAGGAAAAAGCAATATTGTTGGAAATGGCAAAATAATTTGCCCACAGTTGCAAAACTAGAAGGCAAAAAGAAACCCTGGACATTTATAGAAGAAAGCTAAGCCTAATAACAGATATAGGTAATTAAATTGGAGTGTCCCTGAAGTGCGTTTTTCTAACAACAGATACTGTCAAGAATGCAGAGAAAAAGGAACGTCTGCACTGCTAGTGGGAATGCAAACTAGTGCAACCTCTTTGGAAGACAGTGTGGTGATTTCTGAAAGAACTAGAAATTGACCTTCCATATGATCCAGCAATTCCCTTTTTGGGAATGTACCCAGAGGAACTCAAATCATTCTACAAAAAAGATACCTGCACATGTATGTTTGTTGCAGCTCTATTCACAATAGCAAAAACATGAAACTAACCATACTGCTCATCGAAGCTGGACTGGATAAAAAAAAAAATGTGGTGCATATACACAATGGAATATTATGTAGTCATAAAGAAGGACAAACATATGAATTTCGCAGCAACTTGGATGGATTTAGAGTTGATCATACTCAGTGATCTATCACAGAAAGAAAATACAGAGTACCATATGTTCTCACTTATCAGTGAATCTTGAAAAATTATCATAACAGTAAGAAAGGGATTGGCAGTAGTGAAAAACTGCTGGGGGTGGAGTGGGTGGGATTGGCAGTTGAGGAAATCTGCTAGGGGAGGGAGGGGCACACCTCATCAACAAGGGTGCCTGCATAATCAACGTTTCTATACCTAACCCTGAATTGTACCCCACATCTTTAAAATAAAAAAAGAAAGAAAGAACAAAATACATTTTCTGATGTTAGTCTTAGTGGTGAGAGGAAGTTGTAGGATGGCCAACAATTCCTTTTACTGTCCTCTCCTAAAATAAATTTTCTCTGACTACATGAGAAATGAAGCATACCCCATGCTTCTAACCCACACCAAGTAAGAAATTCTCAGAGATCTATTTTGATGCATTTTGAAAACAGTTAAGGGGAATTAATAAAACAAATCAGAATATTCATTTTAAAATTAGTCCTATAATAGGTAACCAAGCTCTTTATGATATACAATATAGCCTATTGACATACAAACAGACTGCAAACTCTGATAATGATACTTATAGACAATAAGATCTACTGTAGTCAACTCTATTCTTGGCATTTCCTGATTCAGTTATACTATTTTCTGTCACATTGGTGGCATTTGTTCAAGTAATATATCAACTTGACTTTCTGAATACCTTGAGTTTCATTCTCAGTTTTTAATTGTTCTCTTTCTGTGTAATTTGCTTTGCTCCATCTCTTGATTTTAGTATTATCTTTCTTTCAATAGACCTATGCCACCCATATCTACCCTTCTGGAGTTTCAACTTAGTCCAATTGTATCTATTAATATCATTTTGCCACCTATTTCTTCTCCCACTTTACCTTAGAATCTATTTTCAGCCATGCAAAACTTTCAACACATTCTGAAAATTCTATTTCATACATTTATCTGTCTTTCATCTAAGCTTACTCATTTTTCACAATCAAATTTTAAAGCTTTCTATAACTTCAGAGTTATACATAGCAGAATGGTATGCTGTTTTAGATTTGGTTTAAAATACTTTAGCAAAGGAAAACATAAAACAGGTGAGTTAAGTTAGGCAAAGTTGTAGTGATTGTTGAATACAGATGATAAATATTTGAGGATTTACTTTACTTAATGTCAAAATATGCGTAAAAAATGTTAAAGTTCTATAACAAACATTACACTTAGTGAAAAAAAAAGTTAGCAGTATATCATATAAAAGAGGTGCATGATAAGGATACCTACTACCACTGCTTTATTTTAAAATTATAGTGAAGGCTTTATGTAGAATGTAGCAGACACAGAAAAATGAATAACAATTAAAGGTAAAGGAAGAGAAAAGAAGAACCATAACTATCACTAATTTGCAAATGACATGGTTATCTACTTAGGCTTAGGTACTTTCAGTATTTTTAAAAATCTATCTTTCTCAGACGTAAGCTTGGCAAACAG